GCAAAAAAAAAAAAAAAAAAGGGGGCACTGTTCCTGAAAAAGAGGGGAGGGAATTGAAAATTAGATTTGGGTAGGAGGATTTCTTTAAGAGTGAGACAGGGACCAGCAGGTGGTATGGTTAAGGTGCTGAACTCCCACATGCGGCCAACTGTGGTTCAGGTCACAGACCTGATCGCTTGCTTTCTCTCTCTCTCTGGCGAGTCCACATACTCTATAGCAAAATAATAATAATAAATAAAACTAAATATTTCTTTTAAAAAAGAGTAAGGCAGGGAGCAGCAGGTGGCATGGTGGTTAAGGCACTAGACACTCCCACATGGCCAACCATGGTTCGAGTCTTGGACCTGGTGGCTTGCTTTCTCACTTTCCTTCTTTCTCTCTCACTCTGTGTGTCTCTCTCTGGTCAAATTAAAATAAAATAAATGAATATTTTAAAAAGTAAGGCAAATGTATTTTCGAAAGCTATACATTTCCTATTTTCCCTTATTTATTTTTAATACCTGAAGGCATGTGCGTGCACCAGAGAGAAAGAGCGCATCTCCAACGGGGCCCAGTCCCTCCACAATCCTTCTTCCTCCTTTTCTCCAGCCACGTGACCCCAGCGTGTTGTCAGGCCACTAGGGCTGGCCCGAGACCTGCGGCTGGCCGTGTGGGAGCTGACTCCCACTGCACATGTAACCGTTGTGCTGGGGTCGGGTGCAGAGGCAGCCAAGGTAGGAGTTTTATTATTTTTTTAATTGGTCAGAGGCCAAGTGAGCTGGCAAGAGAGACAAGGAGAAAGCACCCCTCAAAGGGGCATGGCCATGTTGCAACTCTTCTCTGTTTCTTCACCCTGTCATGAATCGGGGTGCACTCACGCATGTGCCCAGTATGTTTTTCAAGCTGTCAGGGTCAAGATTCGAACTGTGAGTTGGCCATGTGGGATCTGACTCCTTTAACCGCTAAGCCACAGGCAGTCACAGGGCCCACCAGGGTAGGGGGATTTTTTTTTTTTAAGTTCGATTTGGCTCAGATATCCCAGTGGAAATGTTGAAGAAGCAATTGTATATACAGGCTCAGATGGTAGGTTTATACTGGAGATGTAGACTTTGAAGTCCACAGAAATTATGTGGTTTTTTTTTTTAAGAATTTTTTATTTACTATTTAATTTGACCAGAGAGATGAGAGAGAGAGAGAGAGAAAGCTGCCAGGTCTGGGATTCAAACCACAGCCAGCCATGTGGGAATCCTATGCCTTAACTACTACACCACCAGCTGGTTTTGAGATTATGTTCTAAATGGATGAGCAGATTCAAGGCCAGTTCAGTATGACCTCTGGGTCTCTGATCCTTCCAGGACAGAGTCTGTGTCTTCAGCACTTTGCATCCCCTCCCATGGGAATGATTATGCTGGACAAATGAGCACACGAATCCATGTACATATGTCTGAATGAACAGACAAGGAAAAATGGCTTCCAAGCTCCAATCCTCAATTCCATGTTCCAAAGATGATGCAAAGAAATCAGGTCTAGGGTTAGCCTTATAGCCTAGTGGCTAAGAGAGCCAGATCCAACATGGTGGACCTCATAGTTTGAATCCCAGCCTAGTGGCTTGAAAAACATGCTGAGGGGACCGGCAGGTGGTGTGGTGGTTAAGGGTGCTGGACTCCGACTTGGCTGACCTGTTCGAGTCCCAGACCTGGTGGCTTGCTTTCTCACTTTCCCTCTCTCTCTCTCTCTCCTTCTCACTCTGTCTCTCTGGTCAAATTATAAATAAATAAATAAAGTTAAAATAATTATTTAAAAAAACATGCTAGGCATATATGTGTGTGTGTGCATGCACACGCACATGTGTGTCTGAAATCCTGACGATAAAGAAATGGAGGAGAAGAGATTGTGGCATGACCATACTCCATTTTGCAGGGGGAGGATGTTTTCGCCCACTCCTCCCAGGGAGTACAAACCCCCTCTGGCAAATAATATTAATAATTATTATTTATAATTAAGAATTAATCATTTCAGTGTGCTCAGAATCTTGACAGGATGGAGAAATGGAGGAGGCAGGACTGTGGCGAGCACATACCCTCTCTGGCAATTAAAAAATAAAATGATTACCTGTTGCCCATCCCTAAGCTCTAAGGTCTGTAAAAGGAAGGGTTTTCTTTAATGTAGTATCTTTGGTGCCTAGAATAGAACCTAGGATTCAGCAGATGTTCAACAGTATCTGCTGAAGTGGACCAGCCCTGTGGTCTCATGGTTAAAGATCCATATCCCACAGGGCTGACTGCAGTTTGAATCCCGGCCCTTATCACTTGAAAAACATGCCAGGTACACGTGTTTGTGTGCCCCAAATCCCAACTGGATGGAGAAACAGAGAAGGGACTGCAGTGTGACCATGCTTCATTGGAGGGTGAGCACACCCGCCCTCTGGCAATAAAAAATAGATGTATTTGCTGAATCAGTGAATGAATCACATTCTCCTCATTCCTACTGCTCTGCCCTCACTGAGGCTTAGCTCACCACACTGCCTTCATTCTTTTTTTTTTTTTTGGAGGGGTTTTTTCTTTTTTTTTTTTTTTTTGCTATAGGGCGCATGTTCTCACCAGACAGACAGAGAGAGACAGAGAGATAGAAAGCGAGGGAACCAGCAGTTAGCATAATGGCTATGTCGCTGGACTCCCACGTAGTCGACCGCGGTTCGCGTCCCGACCCTGTGACTTAAAACTCACGCTGGGCGCGTGTGCGTGCCTGCCCAAGAAGAAAGCGAGAAATCACCCCCCAGAGGGGATGGTCACGCCGCAATCCCTTCTCCTCCATTCTCCTCTTGGGATCTTGGGCACGCACGCACACGCGCCCGGCGTGAGTTTTAAGTCACTGGGTCAGGATGCGAACTGCGGTCAACTACGTGGGAGTCCAGCGACATAGCCATTACGCTAACTGCTGGTCCCATGGGTCAAGCACCTTTTCTGTGCACATAGCCTCGCATAGTCTTTAATAAAGAGTTAATGCTGAGCAAGCACTACACGCCAGACTTCTCCTATGTGTTATTTCACATAATCCTTAGAAGAACTGAGGCAAGTATCCACTACAAAGAAGCTGAGGCACGGGTTAGTTAACCTGTCTGACGTCACAGTGAGAGTAAGAGGTGGGACTGGGTCGGACCAAAGTGATGAGCTGCCTTCCTCGGAGGTCTTTGTCCAGTTCCCCCACTGCACTATGTGCTCTTTAAGGCAGGGCCAGCATCCAGTCTCCCAGCAAATAGCACTCTGCCTGGCACATGTGTGTTAAAAGAACAACGGTGGGGTGGGTCGGGGAGGGCAGCAGGTGGTGTGATGGTTAAGGTGCTGGACTCTCACATGGGACATGTTCGAGTCCCTGACCCGGCCGCTTCTTTCTCACTTTCTCTCTCTCTCTCTCTCTCTTTGGTCAAACTAAATAACAATAATAATAAATTAAAAAAAAAAGAAAATGGGTGGGCAACAGGGGGTATGGTGGTTGGAGAACTGGACTCCCACATGGCTGACTGTAGTTCGAATCCCAGACCTGGTGACTTGCTTTGTCACTATCTCTCTCTGTCTGCTGAGTGCATTTCCCCTATAGCAAATTTTTAAAAGTAATAAATAAAATTAAATAAATCTTTTTTTAATGATTTAATTTTATTTATTCATTCATTTATTTTAATTTGACCAGAGAGAGACACAGAGAAGGAAAGAGAGAGAGGGAAAGTGAGAAAGGAAGCCACCAGGTCCGGGACTCGAAGTGTGGTCAGCCATGGGGGGAGTGTCCAGCACCTCAACCACCATGCCACCTGCTGGTCCCAAATTAAATAAATCTTTAAAATAATATTTTTAATAATTATTTATTACATTTTATTCATTCATTTATTTTAATTTGACCAGAGAGAGACACAGAGAAGGAAAGAGAGAGAGGGAAAGTGAGAAAGGAAGCCACCAGGTCCGGGACTCGAAGTGTGGTCAGCCATGGGGGGAGTGTCCAGCACCTCAACCACCATGCCACCTGCTGGACCCCCAATAATAATTAAAAAGAAAAAATAAAAAAAAGAACAATGGGGGGCCTGCAGGTGGCATGGTGGTTAAGGGTGCTGGACTCCCCCATGGTTGACCATGGTTCAAGTCCCGGATTTGGCGACTTGCATTCTCACTTTCTCTCTCTCTCTCTCTCTCTCTCGTCCCTCTCTGGTCAAATTAAAATAAATTAATTAAATAACTAATTCTTTTTTTTAAAAGAAGAACAATGGAATATTTTCTAGCTCTTACCATTCCTCTTTTGCAGAGGCTCAATAGTGCACAGCTGGCCCTCCTCTGTCTCATAGAGGCCGCAGCCCAGAAGATCCATTTTCCCTCCTTTCACAGCTCATGGTGCTGCGATGGGGCGTGGGGCAGGAGAGGAGAGTTGGAAAACAAGGAACAGGGTCTCTGCCCTTGGTTCTCAATAAAGCCATGACTCTCATGACAACTCCCTCCACGTCTCCCCTGCCCCCACGTTACTCAGAGAGCTTTGCTCACAGACCTCATGGACAGCCACCCGCAGTCAGTTCCCCACTCTTCTTAGCGCTCTCCCAAAGACTTCCTGGGTCAGGCCCTCCATGCCCCGTGGAAGGAGCCTGGAGACAACCTGGCCCTGCAGTCCTGGGACATGTCCCCCTTCGCCCAGCAAGTCACCCATCACCTCCACCCTGGCCTCCCGCCTCCTTCCCCTCTGCAGCCTGCAGATGCCTGTCACTTTCAGCTTGCATTCTCCTTCTGGTCAGGCCAGTTTGGCGAATTTCTCAGGCTCCCTGGGCCCCATGGCCCTGGAGCCTGTGGGCCCCTGTCCCCAGGCCTGGGCCACCTTAGATGAGGCAGAGCAGATACCCAGAGGAATGTATGAGCTTTTCTGGAGGAGACCTTGAAGATCACATGGCACTTTCCCTCCTGCCTAAATCTAGGGATGGGTTCTCCACTCTAGGCCCAGAAGCCCCTTCTTTCCTGAAACAATGCCAATTCCAGAGCCAGCTCTCAGCAGTGTGCCTTCTCTGAGGCAAGAACTTCACCGACTCTGGGTCCTTCTTGCTAGAGTTGGAAGAGGATGCGATAAACACCAGTCTCCGGGGAGAAAGGGGAAGGGGCGTGGCCTGGGTCACCCTAGGGTTGTCAGCCTTATTTCGAAACCCACCCCCTACCCTTGCTCTGACCGCCAGAGGGACTGAGGGCCCCAGACAGGACCTGCCAGCCACTTGCTGGAGTTCAGGAGGTCACCGGAAGGAGGGGAACTGACCTCTCAGGCTCTCAGAAGATGGGGAGACAGGAGCTAAGCCCCCAACTTATGATGTCCCAGACCTCTGCCACCAGCCGCAATGGACCCCTGGGTGCTGCAGCCCTGTCCTGAGGGCCAGGAGGGAAGCCTGGACACTCCAGGACGGAAAACCAGACGTAACGGGAAGGCTCAGGGTTTGAGGCCCAGGGTGGCTCCACAGGTTCCTGGAACCCTGTCTGGGTGCAGCCCTCATCCTGCCTGCCCTCAAGTCCAGGCTGTAGCCCTCTTCACCCTACCCCCCCAGCCCCGGGCATTGTCTGCTTTGTCACAGCTGCTTCCTCAGCAGCCCAGACCCAGAGGGACTGCTAGGAATGGCAGGCTGGCCAGTGTCACCCAGTGGCAGGCTGGTCCTGAGACTCTGCCTCTCCAGGTGGGGCCTAGTCTTCCCCAGAGGACCTGGAGTAGGAGGCTGAATTCGATGCTCATCAATAAGTGGCAAGCTGAGGTGGGGCGAGGACTCCACAACTGGGGTGAGGAAGGCCTCTCTCCCCGAGGAGCGAGGGGTTTTAGCAAGGAGGGCAGAAGATGAGCAGAGTGTACCCTCTGCCACGCCTCCCTAGAACGCGGTCCCTTCTCCTACCCCTTGGCTTTGGGGTCAGGTTGGTGCCAGAGAGGCTGGGCCTGCAGAGTCGCCAGCTGTGACAGCGCTCCCTGGCACGCCCTCATTCCCAACAATCCTCGCGGCCCTGTCCACCCCAGCTTCTCCTGAGTGGCCGTGTCCAACCCACCCACTCTGCCAGGGCCCCCCGCTTCCTGCTCCCCCCCTCTATGCAGCCAGAAAGGAGCACACGACCCAGATACTTCTGCAAATACATTTAATGCACTTAGATTACACAGAGGAAGAGGGGGCAAGAAGGAAACAACATCTAAGTGAGTCACCCAAAAATTCTTACAAAAGTCCCAGGCTGGCTGCAGCCCCAGGAACTGTCACCACTGACATTAAAAACTAATATAAAATTTTACAAAAACCTGCTCGTTGCAGCATTCAGGTACTTGTACAAAAGGAGAGGTCTCTACAGGGCTCCTGACTTGTAACAGGGACCCAGGCACCTCACCTGGCAGGAGGTCCTGGCAGCCAGAGAGGGAAGACCAGATTTAAAAAAAACACCATCGAGAAAAAGTCTGTACTGGTTTGCCCCATAGGGGCACCAACCTTCAGGTTCCCTCCCTGCTCAGCTCAGTCTCAAAACCCAGTCCCAAGACCTTGTCTGATTTCTGTAAATGCTCTAGCCCTTTTAGACTGCACCCTGCCCCCTTTCCCAGGTTTTCCCCACCCCTTCCCTGGGAAGAGGAAGAGACTGTCAGGAAGCGGCACCAGCGCCTTGGCCAGACCTCAGACCTGGCATGAGCCCCCGCCCCTCCAATGGCCGCTGGGTTCAGGTCCTCTTGCAGTCCGCGCCGGACCTGGGGAGCCGCCGGAGCCCACCTTGGATAGCAAGCACATGCGAGAGGGGAGCCCCTTCTCCTCAGCTCTAGAGCAGGGACCCAGAGGAATGGAACAGAACGGGCAAGCTCGAAGAAGCCCCCAGAACAGGCAGACGTGGTGGGGAGACTCCTCCCCTCCTCAGCCCACTCTGAGCTCAGGGGTCCCCAGAGCTGTGCAGAGTGACATCTAGCCGCCACACACCCGACACAGTGCTAGACACTGCACGAGGTCAGCCTCGCTGGGTCCCCATGGCCAGTGGACAGCCCCTCCCGGAGACCTCTGAGCGGTACCCCTGCCCGAAGGAAAGGAGGCCTGGTCGGAGCTGCCGCCCCGTCACCCCCCAGGGCCAGTGTGCTGCTGTGGGTAATGACACGGGGCTGGTGGGGGGGCTGGCCCAGACAGCATCAGCATCTTGGATATTCCTGGGGTTTCCGACATGGTGGGGCAGAAAGGGGCCCTGGGTTTCCTCGACTCATCATCTCTGAACTCACTTGCTTCCTCCCGCCTTCTCTGTCCTCCCACAACGGCCACCATGAGGACCACCAGGTGGCAAAGCTCTGCAGGCCTGGGGCGAGTTGACCCCAGGCCTCCAGTACTGATGATGAAGGTTAGCTCAGAAAACAGCTCTCCCCACACCTCTCAGCCAGGCAGATGGTGAGGGCGGGCTGCAGCAGGGAGCCCCCAGGCAGGCCCCCTGGGACAGACAATGTGGGGAAAGGCCAGCCAGTATAAGGAATTGAGCAAACGGGTGGCGCAGCCCCTCTCTGCTCGTGGGATGTCAGAGGCAAGCGCTCCAAAGGCAGGGTTGCCATGGCAGGCGAAGGCAGGTGAGCGCTCTTCTGGAAAAGTCCTTGGGCAGTGGAAGGCACAGCGGCTGCCAACAGCAGGTCCAGAGAGCTTGTATCTTGGCTGGGGCTGGAGGCACTCTCCCAGTGCTCCAGGTGATCTGCCTTGAAGTCCTGAGCTCGGTGCAGTCACCTGGACATCTAGGGGGTGGCAGGGGAAGGCGCAGGCCAGTGGCCCCTCAGAAGTCCCACTCCTGCTTTTTGGAGAACCCAGCCAGCACCTTCATGACCCCTGGAGGCAGCTCCTCAGCTAGATCTCCCATCAGGGATTCCTGCATCCAACGGGCCTCCCATACTGGTGCCTGAGTGTGGGGTGAGGGCAGATGGGGGCAGTGAGTAGCCTTGCATGGTCCCTGGCGGGCAAAATGACTTGGCTTGGGAGCAGTCTGAAGGGTAACTGTGAAGTAGCAGCTCCTGGGAGGTGAGCAGGCAGGAAAGGGCCTGGCTGACCCAGGTCAGGGAAGAGAGAGAACTCAAGGGGAACCCTGACACCGTGGACCAGGGATAGTTTGGCTTCTGGAAGGCAGACTGCGAGCTCTGCAGTATGGGGGGGCGAAGGGCTGAGGACCATGAGGGCCAGGGTGTGTGTTGGGGGGAACAGGACAAGAAATGGGAATGAAAGAGGAGAAATGAATGGATGCGAGGAGGATGGGAGGGCAGCAGGGAGCTGCAATGGCAAAACCAAAGTGAAAGCGATATTGAGAGGTTGATTTTCAGTTTTTAATAAGCCGGTCCTGCAGCCTGGGGCCAGGGGCGCAGGGGTGAGCAAACAGGACGGAATTGCTCAAAGCACTGGAGACACAGGTCCTAAGATGCAGGAGGGGATGGTCTGTGAGGTGATGGGCCTCGCCCGTTCCAGGCAGGCCTGGTTGGCTGGAAAAGGCCTGGAAGGCGAGGTTGACTGGGGTCACCAAGTCTTTAAGGGACCCTGAAGGTCCCTGAACCTTGCAGGGCCCCATTCACCTGGGAAAGAGCAGCACCCCTTCCTGGCTCTGCTTGCTGGGTTCACGGCTGCACAGGGCAGTGTTTCTGCTCTCCCCGTCCCGGGCTCTGCCAGGCCCAGCGGGGAAGAGAAGCCGCTGTGAGGCTGGGTCCTCAGGGCTCTGGCCTGGCAGGCAAACACTGGGCACCTTCTCTGGCGGCAGGACAGGGGCAAGACATAGCTCCAGGCCCGTCTGAAGAATGAGAAAGTTCATCTGGAAATAAAGTTCTGTTTAAAAAATATTATATACATGGCTTCTGGACATTTTTGCAGAGCAATAAAATACTATCCGGTTTCTACAAAATAAAATAAGGAAGAAGAAAACCAAACATGATGGGAGGGGCTATTCCACCGCCAGAGGAGCAGGGCTAGCAAGGCTTCCCGGAGCTGAGCGGGCCGCACCCACGCACTCTGCACCTGCTCTGCACCTCCCTCCTGCGGGGACCAGGCGTGGCCGGGTGAGAACGAGCCTGTTTCCACCCAGGGGCACATCAAGGATCCAGAGTCAAATCTCAAACATAACCTGCGTGGCTGCAGAGAGGGTTTGCATCTGGCCCAGTGGGACACTCGGGCTTGGCTGGCGGGGGTGTGAGGCCCCGAGCTGGAGGTGAGGTGGGGGGAGCCTGTGGCTCGTGCATGGCATCCCACTGGGCCGGGTGCGGCGACTGCGCAGTCATCCTCACACTTGTCCTTTTATTGTGGGACTCTCCATGACGCAGCTGTTACGCCGGAAGTCACTGGGGAGTGGCTGGCTCCACTGGCCCCTGCGGGGCCCAGCCCAGGCTAGTGCAGCGGACTGTCAAACACCACGTCGGGCAGGATGGAGACTTTCAGCTTCTTGTCGGGCCAGCTGTACTCTTTGGGAAGTTTGAACTGTGGAGGGAGCAGAGATCCAGAGTGCACATGGTCAGCAGAATCCACTGTCTTCTTCCCAGAGATGCCTAGGAGAGGCCAGTACCCTCACCCAGGCCCTGTCCCCAGGGTGCCCTGGTCCTGGGCAAGGCAGGATGCGGGCTTCACTCTCACCCCAGGCGGGCAGCTGGGGCCAAGCTGCTGGTACCTGTGACCCCTGCTTCCCCTTGCCCTGCCAATAATTAACCCAGGCTGGAGGAGGCCGTTTTCTAACTCTGTCTCGGCTTGCTGGTCTCCCTCCTGCTCACTTCCTTGGTTCTGCCTCGGGCCACAAGCATGTAAAGAATCTGCTCCCTGAGGCCCTGGGCCTCGAAGATGGGGGCCGGGGGAGGGTGTGGATACCACAGGGAGGCAGGATGAGGTCCCTCGCTGCCCTGGCCTCTTTCTTAGAAGCTGGTGTGGGAAGGGCCCTGGAACCTGCCCCACAGAGCCCCTGCCAAGGGGCCCAAAGGGAGGGAAGAAGGCCCTCGTGCGGGCGCAAAGGCAGCAGCCGGGCGGGAGCAGAGGACAGGCCGAGGACAGGCCGAGTGTGGCTTGATATGCTGTCTGGGGCCAAGTGCATCCCTGGGAGGGGCTGGCCCTGGTTCAGCTTCATCCACTTCTCAGAGTTTCTAGCCCGAGTGTCCCTGTGGGGGTCTTGCTGCCCTACCTCAGGAATCATGATTTGCTTACACTTTGTTTCTCCCGCTGGCCTGGGAGTTCCTGGAGGGGAGAGGCTGACAGACCCTCCGCCTGCCCTGTGTTAGGCACGCTGCTGGTGCTCAGGAAGTGCTAACTTGGACTGCCACTGAGCTTGGGACAGGGTCAGTCTGTGAGGACTCCCCAGTCCCAGGGCGAGGCCAGGGCCAGGGCCAGGGCGGAGAGGAGAGCGCAGTGCTCCCAGGCTGCCTGGGGCTGGGGCTCCGGTTGGACAGGCCCTGCTGCCTGGCTGACTCCTTCTTCCCCTCTCTGATGGGGACTGTCCACGCCAGGACCAAAGTGGAGAGTGGGGCAGGGTGTGGGGATGGCCTCTGGACAAAAAATCAAGAAAAGAAAAAAAGTCATTTTTGGTGACCTACTTTCCTAGGTTCCCCTGGCTCCTAGCCCTCTTGCCTGGACTGTCCCCCTCCCACCGCTTCAACCCAGGCTCAGAGCAGCGGCCTGGCACACGGCCATCCCAGTGTGACAAGGCCTCTCCGGAAGCGCTTCTGGGCAGCTGGCTCTGGTCTGCCTGAATGGGAGGCTGAGCTTCAGAGATCGGTGACTAGTGGGGGTGATTGGCTGGCACGGACCGGGTTCCTGATGACTCTGGAATGTGTAAATGAATCAGGCCATCGAGCTGCATCCCAGAGGGCAGAGGAGACACTGCTCCAGCTGGGTGACCTCCAGCTCTGAGGAGCTCCTGTCCACCTGGAGACCTTGGCAGGACGGCCCCACCCTGGGCACTCTACTCTCCTCAGCCTCGTGGCCACCAGAGGCCCTGAGTCCTGGCTGACGTGGCCCTGGGAGCCCTAGCAGCTGGACACTCCAGGCCTGGCTGAAGCCTCCCTCCTGCCTGGCCTCCCTCTGACTTGAAAGCCTAGTCCCTGGGCGGTAAAACTCTCCTCCAGCAACTTCCCGGCAGACAGGGCAAGGGAAGGGTAGCCCCTGCCCGCCGCCAGGGAGCCCAGAAGAGCTCTCCAGAGGCCTGGCCAGCTCGCTAATGTTCCACTAACCCATCGGGCGCTGTGGCCAGGAAGGCTCCGCTCCCACTGGGGTGCTGGTGAGCAGGAGGCAGGGGAAGGGAAGGGACTTTCCAGGATGAGGTAAGTCCCCACAATTTAGGATGCCGGGAACAAGGAAGAAAAACAAAGAGGATTATGGGCTCCATCTGTACCCCAGAGGAGCGGCCAGGAGAAGGCACATCCCCACCTGGCCCGCCAGCTCCACTGACAGGTTCTGAGCTAGGATTGGAAGAGGCGGACGAAGCTCAGGGCTGGAGAAGGGAGGAAGGGAAAGTGGCTCCTGGGTGGCCCAAGGCAAAGAGCAGGAGTCCCTCACTGCCCACTAGAACTCCCCAGTGGTATGTTCTCTGGCAGCAGACATGGGCCTTCTGTTCAGGACTTGCCAGGGAACAGCAGGGGCTGGGGAGAACCCGTACTAGCCTGAAGGCCCTGGCGGCCTCCTCAACGAGGTTCTCCAGAGCTGGCAATTCAGACAATTTGCTGGGTGTCCTTGCAAGGGCTGGGGGTGGGGGTGGGGTGGAGCACAGGACGGTGGCGGTTCACGGAAACACAAGAGAAATGAAGTCCTTTAATACTTCTCGGGGCTCCTGTCCGGCCTTTCCCACACCTCAGAGAGGAGCCCCGAGACACACACACACGCGCGCGTGCGCGCGTGCGTGCGCGCGCACACGTAGGGACACGGACACGCACGCTCCTGGACCCGCTGTCAGAACCGCTCAGGCTTACCTCCTCTGGCGAAGTCAGATCTTCTAAGTCTTCCAACATTTTTTCTACAAACTCTTCAGTCAACAGAATCTGGGAAGAAGGCACAAGGGAGGCTTTTACTTTTAAAAATCTATGCTGTGTTTTTGTTTTGCTTTGTTTTGTTTTCCCAACCACCAAGTTAAGGACCCTGCTTGAGGCCACGGACGAGGTGTGAGCTTCCTGGGATCTGTTCCAGGGGCAGAGGAGGTGTTCGAAGCCTCCCCCCGTATGCAATCTCTGCCGGACTGGACAGTGAAGGAAGGGATCAGAGGACAAGGGGGAGGGAGGTGGGGACATCTGGAGGAGGGCTGGTGTCACTGGATCTGGGGGAGACGAAGCCCATGAGGGGAAGCCCGTCTCGGCGGTCCAGATCTCCGGCATAGTGCGGTGCAGCAGGGAGCAGCAGGCCGAGGGGCAGAGCAGAGCTGCTGCCTTGCCCAGTCAGGCTCACGTGATCCCACCTCCTGCCCCCCAGCTTGGTAGACAAAAGGAATCTGTTTGGATTTGGAATACAAGCCCTGTCTGGAATCTGGAAATGCCCCGGAAGGTGCATCCAAGAAAGCCTTAGCTGGAGAGTCTGCAGGCTGTGAGCCGACCTCTCGTTCTCCAGACAGGGAGGGACTCCAGCGTTCGTTGCTATCGGCCGTATCCACAGGCCAGACGCTCCTGAGCCCCTGCCCTGCTGGCCCCAGCAAGCACAGAGTTCTCCAAGGCCTGGTGGAGGGACCCCTCTCAGGGCCACCTCCTAGCTTTCCCGTCCATTCTGCTGCTCTCGTCTGATGTCCTGTCGCCTCACACTCTGATGCTGAGGACAGTCTGGCCCCACTACACGGCCAGTAGACACCCACCCTAAGGACCCTTTCCCAGTCTGGGGGACTGTCCCAGGGTGTCCAGGGCCTCACAATCAGGCCTTCTTTGATCTGCTGAGCCAGCTGTGCTGCTGAGCCAGGCCAAGCTCGGCCCTTGGCTGTACCACCTCATCCGCATGGCTGAGGGTGCCTGTCTTCTCCCGATCTGAGCCCTCCTTCCACCGTCCCACTCTGCTCCACTCTGGCCCAGAGGGACACTGACATCGTGCAGGCCCCTCTGCATGCCCAGCTGTGGCCCCGCCAGTCTCCAGGGTTCTCCGGTAGACCCTGAGCACCCTGGCAGGGCACAGAGGAAGACAATGGGGTAAAGCTGAGGAGGAGCTCCTCTGAGGGAAATCCTCCCTGTGAAAGGAAGGGAATCAAGATCTGGAGCAAACAGCCATCAGGATTCCCCTGGGAGTTGTCCACTCTGACGAAGACCGAAGTGTCCGCACGGTGAGATGACGTGCAATGGCAGAGAAAGGGAGGAGAGCCAGCAGGCCCCTGGGGCCTTCGCAGGACGCACTCCAGGGGGCGGGAGCTGACGAGGTGGGCGGGGGAGTGAGGATGAGAAAACAGAACAGTCCCCACCGCACCAGGCTCCGCACGGACTGCTCCTTGGGCTCCTTACGGTGAGGAAGGTGAGGCTCACACAGCTCCTACCACGTGGCTCATGAGAGGATGAGAAAGACCACATCCCAGGCACGCGTGGATTCTCAAGTTTGTGCCTGAAGTACCGCCTGATTCCTGATCTCTTACCCCCAGGACACACGCTCATTTACTCATTCTTCCAGGGACACAGGCATGAGGGTGGCCATTTACCACTCAAGCACCCTCTCTCAACTGACAGGGAGCCAAAAGCCTGTCCCTCCCAGGCTGCGAGCACACACTCAGGAATGAAACAGCTCTGACCACTGGCCCACAGCTCTCAGCTAACTTGTCATAGGAGCTCAGCCATGAGTGAGGCCAGAAATACGGCTCAGAGAGAGTGGAGGGGCCAGGACCAGCAGATGTAATGCTTACATCACTGAACTCCCACGTAGTTGACTGCAGTTCAAGTCCTAGACTGGGCGGCTAGAACTCGCACCGAGCACGTGTGCATGTACGCCCAAGATTCCGAGAGGAGAATGGAGAAGGGACTGTAGCATGGTCAAGCCCCTCTGGGGAGTGATTTCTCACTTTCTGTCCTCTCTGTCTGTCTCTCCAATGAGCACACGTGCCCTAAAGTGAAAATCTCTCTGAAAGAGAAATTGGAGAGGCCCAGGTTGCCCGGAAGCACCCACCTGAGGTGCCCCAATTTGCTCTTCCTCCAAGCTTGCCAGATGGAACTGGCTGACTTCTGCCACTGCAGCCAGGCCCAGCGATCCTCTGGGCTCCCAACCTCGGCCCTCGCTGCTCCTCCTCTCTTATCTCGGAGGTGTACCACCCCAAAGTGCGGAGTTTCTCCACCAGTTACTGCCGGTCTGCTTGGGTAGTACAAAAGTCACATTCATTTTTTTGGCACTTCCGGGGCTTGCTGCCATCTCTGCAAATGCTCGCACAAACAGCAGCGCACCTAAACGGCGGCTCCACTACGATGCCTCCAGACCTGGCAGCGCTGGGCTGACGCCTAACCCGCAGATACTCTGGGGGGTGGGGCTTCAGTGGGAAACTGGTCTGGACCGAGTAGGGAATGAGTGCTGGGGGGAGCTGGGGGGGGGGCGGCTTACAGAGACCACGGCCACCCAGCGAGACTGCCAGGGAGAGTCGTTTTTCAACAGGAAAGGTAACGCTGGGTTCAGTCCTAAGCCAGTCCTTCTGACAGAGGTCTGGGATTGACGCTGCAGAGGGGTGAGTGGCTTTTAGTAGAGCAGCCACCAAGAGTGGCACCATCTGCATTTGGATTTATTTGTTCTCAGATGGGGGAGGGGACGCGGCAAAACCCAAAATGGGAACAAACCCTAGTTGCTCCTCCATTTTTGCTTTGGGTGGTTTGCTGGTTCCTGCTGGAACCTTCACATTATTTTAGAAGAATTAAAGGGGGGAAAAATTATACATGAGATCTGCATGATATTAAGGGTGACATTCTCTGCAAAGAAACACGACAGACTGTCATAGCTCCAGGCACCTAATTTAATTTCCTTTGGGAGTTAAACCTTAGAAGCTTGGATTGAACAAACAGGCCCTGTTCTTTGTATATTTCAGACCTGGAGCTGAGAATGTTAACAGATCTTATCAACAGGACACTGCAGATAGACAGCCACGATGGAGCAGCTCCTGGGAGCGCTCACGGTAACAGACACTCCGTTGTGATGCAACGTGGGAAAAGCCGGTGTAGTTCTGGGGCTGGAGCTCCTGGAGCTCACTGGGTCCCCATGGAACTGTCTGGCTCTGCTATTAATACAAATGAGAGTGGGGATGATTTTGATGACAGTGCGAGTGGACAAGCGTGGGCGTGGCCGCCTCCTGGTGCCAGGCACTGTGCTAAATGCCTGACCCGTATGGTTTCACGGACTCTTCACGGAGGTCCTGCAAGGGAGGAAACCGTCTGCAGAGGAGGAGCGCCAAGGAGGTGCGTCTCTAGGACTTTAGAAGAGCGAGCTGACATCGTGGGGGTAGAGGACACTCTTCTCCCATCTGGAGAGGTGCCCAGCTCTTAGAGCCGATGTGCTCGGGGTTGACTCTTCTCTGTTTGCTCTAACAAGAGGGAGAAGTAAAGGTGGCTGTGGTTTCTACCAGCGGCCTGCAAAACTGGCAATCTCACCCCCAGCTAGCCACTCACCTGCTGGCCACCTGCTCAGCTCAAGAGGCCTGGAAAGGAAGGCAAGTCATGCCCGAAGATGGTTTCCGAGGTGACACAGCAGGACAAATTTTCAGCCCTGCCTGAGGAATCCATGTTTCAGAACACTAGCCCCCAAAATAGCAGCAGAAATCGTAATACCTCCTGGGCCAGCTAGGTGGCGTGGTGGTTAAGGCAGCTAGATCCCATATGGCCTACTGTGTGCTTTAAGTCTCGGACCTGCAAGTTTGAAAAACGCCGGGTGTGTGTATGTGTGCTCAAAACCCGGAGAGGAAAACGGACTGTGGTGTGGTCACTCCCACTAGGAGGTACTTTTGTTAGCAATCCCCACTTCTCTCCAGTAAGCACACACACCCTGTAGCAAATTTAAAAAAAAAAAAAGTTTTTTAATTAAAGAAATCATAATGCCTCCTGAATACCCGGGGCGAGGCCAAGGCATCCACATTGATAAAGGGACCCCAGGAGATGACAGTGGAGGTAGCGGTGGGAAATTCTGAGGCGCAGCAAGGAGGGGGTTTGTGCACAGCTGGACCAAGAGCAGTGAGTTAGGAGCAGAGCTCCACCACCACCTAAATGCCTGAGCTGTGGGGAGATGCCCTGTCCCACTCCCCAGCGTGCTCCAGTGGACTCGTTCCACATACCGAGGACAGCCGGGCTGGCTGGTAGTAAGGGAGGATTGTTAACAACCCCCCAATTTCCCAGGCCCCAACAAGTTCCAGAAAGGAGCCAGAGAAGGGATTTGTCATCAGTGCCTGCCCCGGGCAGACCTGGCTGTGCAGCAGGCAGGGGCCCAACTGCTGCAGGCCCATGGTCACCGACCTCGTGAGTGGCTGACGATGCCCCCTCCCTACAACAATCCACATTTGGTCTGGGGCCCTGTTTGTTCTTCGTGTTGACACGTTGTTCTTGCTTCCCAACAAGCTTGGCTTTCTTTTCCCTCCCTTTCCTTCTCTCAGGGAAGGAAGTATGTTGTTTACAGAGGTAGGGCCTGCCAAGGAGCTGCTCTGGCACTGTGATGGCAGGCGAGGAGGCAGGGACGCAGAGCAGCAGTCCTGTCTGCGTCCTCCCACTGCCCCCAGGCCAGACAAAAGCCAGAAAACAGTCCAACGAGCACCCCACTCCAAGCTTGGGAGCAGAGGGTGTGCACAGGGCAGGCAGCAGGCTGCAGTGGGGGCACAGTGAGGCCTAACTTGTTCCCTGCGCTTGTGGGTGATGCACTTGGCTTTTGTGGCCAGAAGTAGGTTCGGACTCCTGCTCTGGCTGCCGGCTGCTGAGGACACCCAGGGCACCACGGCCCTTTCCTGCAGGTGGAACCTCCCCAGGTGCACTGCTGGCTGGGCACTATACTTTAACGGGTACACCTCTGGACAGGGAGGGTTCTGAGACAGCCTAGGCGACGGCCTCCAGGTAGAACAAGTATGGCCAGGGTCACCAGTAGACAAGGACACAGTGGCAGTACCAAAGAAGAACAGCCCAGGGCCTGGGTTGGGGACTCTCAGGTGTCCACATGACATCCAATGGGTAGATGGGGCAGGAGAGTGCATTTTCTCCTGCATTCACAGGGGAATAGTCAGTCAGTCCCTGGAGTAGGGGGTCACTCAGCAGTGACCCCCCGGGCCAGCCTGTAGCGGCAGAACCCATGCAGAACAGATGCTGGGCATCTTCTCCTAAGCCTGGGGCCTCCCAACAGGGCTGATGGGAATGGCTTGGACTGGGGGCGTGACTCGGGTGAGCTGTCAGACACCACACAGCTGAGAAAGCACTGCCAGGCCTAAAACAATATTCTTATATTTGGTGAAGTGACCCCTTTGTGACCTCTGGGGCCAAGACTTCTCCCTCTTCAGATCCACCCTGGCTGGGGACGGATGAGCGAGTCAGCTCTGGGCCGGGCTCCCGCTCAGAAGACTAACAGCCCAGTGTTGACAGGCTCGAGGGAGAGAGGCTTGTTAAAGTCACAGGAATGAGGGAGGAGGCACAGGAGAGGGCCCTGGCAGGCCTGAAGACCCTCCTGCAAAGCTCTGATAGGCTGATAGGCTTTATAGGCTCAGCAAGGCTGAAAAAAGCCAACGGGAGGCTGGAGGGCAGGAGTCACGGTGTCATGTGGAAGGAGAAGCCTGCGGGACTAGAGCTGCCTTCCTGCCTCGGCAGCTCCCCCATAAGCAGGGAGTGTCCACTGCATGCCACCTGCAGACGGCCCTGTTTGCTTGCATGGGTGCCCTGACTTTCCAGCTCTGGAGAGATGGGGCGGACGGGGGAGTAGAGAGGGTGGGTGTCGGCTCAGCAGCAGGCGTGGAGGCCTGTCTGGGCCACCGTGCAAGCTCCAGAAAGGGACTCGGGTTCCCCAACCTCATGCCCTTTCCTCTCAGTTTCTCCTTTGTCACTCTTCCCAGTGCCAGGTGTCTCTGCTATGCCTTTCCCCGAGAGATAACGGACCTGGGCTGGTCGCCAGAACAAGGCGCCAAGACTAGGGTGAAGGGTTCCCAAGGCTGTTGAAGGTAGATGCAAGAAGTGCTCACAGCCCCTGAGGTTCAGCCAGGACCAACAGGGAGGTCCATGCAGCAGCCAGAACAGAAGCTGGGTCTCTTCATGCCCAGGGCTGCACTCTGCTCCTTCCTGCTCCTTTGCCCCCACAGGCCTAGGCACCCAAGGCCCGGGGTCAAGTCTCAGCCCTGGGATCATGAGCACACGACCCTTGCAGGGAGCAGGGGTAGGCACCCTCGGGTTGGAGTCCCTCTTCTCAGGGACTGGGGGCTCTTCCTGGCCCAGTGGGGCGGGCCCTCACTGGTGACTGGGCCAACCGAAGCCTCCTGGAGGTCCTGCAGACTCCTGGAAGTCAGCCGGACCCCACAGGAGACCTAGAGGCCCACAGGTAATTACAAGCCCAGATTTCCACAAGCCAGGGAGCTGCCTGTGGCCACAGAGGCAAGACCCTAAAGGGGAAAGCGGGCTGGCAGTCGGATGCAGAAAATGCTGACTGCAGGGGGAAGGCAGGCTGGCTACTCTGAGTGCTGGCTCCATCGCTGAGAATCCAGCTGGGGGCAGGGCCGGAGGGTTTCCCAGAGCTCCTTGGAAAGGGCCTGAGAAACCCCTCAGTGATCCAGGGTGTGTGCTTGTGGAGTGCAGCCTCAGCCAGCCTTCCCAGGAGCTGCTCTGTGAGCTGGCCCCGTGGTTGGCCACACTAATGAGCCCATAACACAGGCCTTTGATTAAGCAGCTCCCAGCACAGCAACTTTATTGAAACACACCGAGCCGCAGGCCTCGTTCCCACTGCTCCCTGGTTCCCCAGGCAACAGCCCATGGGAGGCACCATGTGCTGGGAGGCCGGCGGGTGCTGAGTGCTGAGCTCACTGAGGGGCTGCCAGGGAGGTGAGGCAGTGTCAGGAGTGGGAACACCAGCAGCCAGGAAGAAGGGGAGTGGGGCTGGGTCCAGAGGGCATTAGGGGGATGGAGGGCAATCCATCTGCTGAGTCTATTGGAAGCCCATCTCCTGGGCTGCAGAACAGTGAGGACACTGGGCCGGCTGGGGGCGTGACGGTGAGCCGGCGGGAGCCTACAGGGCTGACTGCGCAGTCTGAGTCTGCACCCAGCGGCCTGAGAAACACACCGGGCATGTGTGTGTGACCGAAATCCCGAAAGCAGGGAGAGATGGAGGAGGAGGGAGAGCAGTGTGATCATTCCCCAAGTGACCATTCTCTCTCTGGCAAGTGCACATACCCTCTGGCAAGAAATTAAAAAAGAAAAAAAAGAAGAAGAAAGAGAAAGAATAAACAAAGAGCACTGACGATGCTGGGCCGCCGCTCAGGGCAGGAAGATGCTCTGAGCGGGATGGAGGCTGTGGTACGGAACGGAGCGGAATGTCTTCCTGAATCTGGGAAACCCCAGGTCCCACTTTCCCAAGAAAACATGCTTGAACCTTCGGTGTGCACACACGCTACCTGAGGACGTCTGCCAAACCTGGCAGCATGCTGTCACCTACTGGGAGTGATGACCTGTGACCTTGTGGGCGGGGGTCTCCTGCACCTCCGTCTGCTCACCAGCTCCTTCTAGGAAAGGAGCCCGTTCCCTTCCTGCTCTCACAGAGCCTGCACTGGCATTCTGGGACGTGACTGGGGTCAGGGGTGGGGGAGCCCATCCCACTGGGGCTGGGCTAACTTCAAACACTACACTTCAGAGCTTTTGCTACAGTAACTACCAACACCACACACAGAAATCTAATGTTACCAAGTGGGACTTTTAAAATGTATTTATAACTTTATGGTTCAAAGTAATTTTGTTATGAAACAATGTAATAACAACAGTGGAAAAAGGCAAGATAATTTATGGAACACAATATCCCTAAAGCACTAGCTTCCATTTCTACCTCTGCTAGTCTGGGGAGTGTGGTTGGTGTCCTTTGTTTGCTGTTTGTTTTAATTAAGGGTTAGTATTTTGGTGTGGGGGGGAAGGGAAGCGGAGGGAGGGCTGGCCTGAAGGAGGAGGAATTCTGCTGTAAGCAGACACACACAGACGGGAAGCACGCACGTATTAAGAACGTATATGCTCTCCAGACTCCGTGCAAAAAGCCAGCAAAACTCTCTTCCCCCCATTGTAATCTACCCTGCCCCCCACACACCACAAAGCACAGTCAACTCCTAGATTAGGGTCAGATTCTCGTTCCTGAGAGAGGTAAGGTCAAAGTGTTCGTCCCTCTCCCTACACCCCCAACGAACCAACAAAAGCCAAAGAAGGATGTGGCCCCTCCGATGTACCTGGGAGCACGGTGGTCCAGGCTGAGTACCCGTGAGAGAGCAGGGATGGGGTAGCGAGGTGGGAGGAGGCCTGTGGCTTGTAGGCCCTAGCATCCCACTTGGCATCCTCTCTGAAGCTTGCTTCAGCCAGAGGAGCAAAGGAAGGACAGAGTGTTCCGGACAAGCCAGCAGGTTTCTGCTCCAGCAGGAGGACCGAGACAGCTGCTGGATTAGGGGTGGGGGCTCTGGCCACTAAAGCCTGCTGGTCCCAGCACCAGGTCCAGGCATACACGCCCACTTCCCATGAATTCTGGCGGGATTTCCAGACAACCTCTGGAGAGAGGCTTCTGCACGCCTTCCCGTCTTGCTTCACCCTGGGGTTCCCAGACTTTGGTTTACCCAGCGTACAGAACATCTTCTAATAGCAAACCTGGACTCCCACAGGAAACAGAACTACCAGCGACCTGAGAGGTGTCACCTGGGTCTCAGGTGTCAGGGGGTTGGGGTAGGACAGGAGGTGAGCCTGGAGTAGCTGGGATAGCACCGCTCCCCATGGCCACACACAGGCCTCAGCAGAGCACCACCGAGAGCTGCCGCTGTGTGTGGGCCTGGGAGAAGAGCCTACAGGAAGAAGGCACGGAGAAGAAAAAGAGCCTCTCACTTGTAACCAGGGTCCATGAGCTGCATAAGGATGCTCCTCAGTGGCAAAGGCACCTTCCACTCCCGTGGAGACGAACGTGATGGCCATGTCACCTGTGATACTTTTATACGTAAAGTGCCGTCCATGCAGGAGCCTGCCCCTGGGGTGGGAAATGGAGACAGTGAGGAGCTGGGCCTAGAGGCAGCCCCCAGTGCCTCAGACCTGTCCAGGGCCCTGGACCTTTGGGAGCCATGCTTCCTGGGCAGGGTGCCTCGCACACGCCCTCCTGACTGCCCACTAACAGCGACCAGCAGGTGGCGTAATGGTTATGTCGCTGGACTCCCATGTAATCGACTGAGGTTCGAGGCCCAGACCTGGTGGCTTAAAACTCAAGCTGGGCACGTGTGCGAGCATGCCCAAAATCCCAAGAGGAGAATGGAGGAGAAGGGATTACAGTGTGCCCAAATCACCCCCAAGGGTGTGATTTCTCGATTCCTGTCTTTCTGTCTCTCTCTCTCTCTCCAGAGAGCCCATGTGCCCTATGGCAAAAATCTCTCTCTTAAAAAAAAAAAAAAAGTGCACATTTTAATCTCTTCAGGGAAAACCCTCTCTTGATTCTCCTTCCACAGTGCTCCAAGCCAGCGGGGACACCTCTAGAGCAGAGTTTCAGGGCCTGCAGAGGCAGTGGGGTCCACCTCCCTCAGGTCCTGGTGAGAAAACTGGGGCCACCGAGGACCTGAAGTGAAGCACGCGTCGCAGGTCACGCCCGGAGCTAAGAGGACATCCAGGACCCCCTTCGTTTGCAGGGCGGAGGTAAAGCAGGACCTGAACGAGTTTCCCGAGGCCTCGGGGGGGGGGGTTCCCCGGGCCCCCGGGGGGGGGGGGGTCCTTCACAGGACCTGCGCTGTGCCCAAGGCAGTGTCCCATCCGCTCCTGGGCTTTCCTGTCACATTTAAATGGCCATCCCAAAGGCCACAAGCATATCTTTTAAAAAACTAAAGAAAGCTGAAGTCAAGTAGGGTCATCTGATGGCGCCACAAAAAGTTACTGTTAATCCCAGTCTGGAAACACACCTGGAGGACGGGCACTCAGGGGCAGCCAGTGGTACAGATGCCAGTCGGCCAAGGAAGCAGAACCTGCTCTCTGCTTTCTCGGGTTCTCTCGGCTGCGCCCAGCCAGAGAGATAGTGGGGAGAGAGAGTGGATCCTGGTGGTGGGCCCGGCCAGGTTGTCTCCACCCTGACCACCTCTGCCCTACTGCCCACGGTGGCTGGCTGAGACCGGTTACCCTTCAAACTTCTTCTCCAGGCTCTGGGGACAGCGGGGAGGGTCCAAATCATGCAATCCCTCTTTCCTCATCACCGTTCTGAGTTTATTCTTGTTGCCTCCCCTGCCATGACAGCCAGGGCAGAACCTCGGTGGGCTGTGGAGGGAGCCAGCTGCAACCACTTCAGCTCAGGGCAGCGTCCCCGAGCATACAGCTGAATTCTGGCCACAAGGCTGGGTTTCTGGCACTGTGGACTGCAGCAGAAGGGACACAGTTGGGCTTCCGGGTCCCTCAAGGAGTGCTGGGCTGGCCACTGGCTTTGGAGAACTGAGAGTTTGGCATGGGAAAAGCAGCAAGCAGGAGAAGACAGAGCCCAGCCACTAGAACCACTGTCCAGCCAGCCCAGAGCTAATGGTGACTCCACCATCCCCTACCTATGGGTTTGGGGAATTGCTGGGAGCTTCTGGGAGTCCCTTGGTCACTAAACCTTCCTTAAAGGGAGCAGGGCTGAAAGACCATTCTCTGGGCAAAGGAGAGTTCTTCAGCACCTATTCCCTGCAAATTCTCAGACTCCAAAACTTGGAAACGAGGAGGGTCCAGCAGCCAGCCACTCAGGCCAGAGACCAGCTGGGCCTCAGTCCTGGGCCCGGTCGGGTTGTACAAACAATGCAGAAAAGAGCCCTCCCCACTGGGGATGATCTCCAGGGCCTCTGACCCCATGCTCACAGATCTCTCCCCACCTGGTCTGGCCGGCATTGGGACGGGAGAATACAGCGCGGCCCAGTGCAGGGGTGGGCTACAGGCTGGTTCAGTCCCCAGGCTCCCACACAGGCCCACTATGGAGCTGCCGGAGTTGTTCTCTTCCTTCCCAGATGACTCTGCCTGGGTGTGAGGGCAGCTACAGGTCCTCTCTGGGGAGGAGGACAAGCTTCAGCCTGGCAGCTCCTTGAGAGCTCTGGAGGACCTGACATGGGGGAGGGGTTTGGGATGGCTCTGAAATGACCCCTGGAGGCCAAGCTGGGTGCGGTGGGGCTGTGGGCTCACCGTAGGCAGAGAGGAATGAGGGCCCCCGACTCCTGGTTGAACTTGAGATGTACACTCTCCAGCTGCCGCGTGCGGATCAGCTCGTGGGGGATAGCGGCCGTGGAGCTGTCACTTTCCAGGCTGTCTTTGCGGCTTCTGCAAAACAAATGCAGAATAGGTTCGGCACAGGGTCAAAGCTGCAGGGAGGGCTGAGGCGGGGGCCTCTGGCTAGGCTCGTGAATAATGATGTTTATGGTGGTGATCGATGACGACGATGACAGCAGTCACCCTTCACGGCATGCTTGCCAAGTGCCAGCCTCTGTGCCAGCTCTGCTTGCTGACTGGCTACTCCTCACAACAGCCCCATGAGGGGGGGACTATCATCACCCCCTTTACAGACACGGAATGGGACCAGGGAAGCTAAGTTATTCATGCAGGTTGTGCAGCTAACGAGGGGGGATTGGGCCTCCGGTGGGCCTGGTCTAAAGCCTGCATCTTTGGCGAACACGTTCTAGTCCGTCTGTCGCAGCAGCTTGCTCATTCTCTATGGCATCAGAGCTCTCCCAACTTGGAGCCTCAGACTGCTAACTGAGGCTGGGGTGCACAGTGCCTCGAGACAGGGTCCCAGGAGCTTCCTGCCTGCTGGCCCTGAAACGGCTCTGAGCACGGCCACCCTGCCAGTGGCCAGGAGCTGCAGTGACACACACATGCTCCATCTAACCAGGAAATGATACGGTTCTCACTGACGGGGTGGATGCCAGGCTCCTATCGAGTCACACCACCCTGCTGGGCTCCCAGGGCCCAGGAGATCTGCACCAGATTCCCTGACTGTGGCTGTGAGCTGTTGCTGCCTCATTCCCTCCTGCTCTGCTCCCCACCAACAGGCCCACAGCTGGGCCACAGGGCCCCTTTACATTCTAAGACCTGCTTTTTCATATTCAGCTGCCCCCACTGACAACCTCTCAAACTGGCCTCAGCCAGAGATGAGGGTTACCCACTGATCCCATTCAAAAGGCCGGATCCTGGTTTGGGCTGTGACTCTCAGAACAATTCCCCAAGTGTCCATCAAAAAACTGGGTGAGAAGCTTGAGTTATTTATCATTCCAGTGGCAGCAGGAGCCACCCAGGACGCCAGGGCCCCACAGCCAGCCAGTGAGGGACAGGTCCAACC